ATAATTATTTGATATTTATAAAACGTATCATCGCATTATTAAAGTATTCCGCTTTTTTATTGCATAGTTGCTGTTTTCGCTCTCAAAATTTTCGTCTACAGGCCATTACAGGTCCATTAGAAAATTTCGGAGACTACTCCGATTTGAATTTTAAAAATTTGGAACCTGGTGGTTTTGAAGGTTTTATTTAAAAAGAGTTAAAATAAAATAATGCCATTGTTGTAGTACTTCCGGTTATACCGATAGTCGCCATCCATTTGCTTATTATAAATGGAACATCCTATATATTTTTGCATATTTGGATTCTACGCGTAATTTTAGGGGAATTTTATAAACCTTCCCAATATTCATCTCTAATGGTCTAATGTTTTTCAACCTATTTCAATTTCATATTTATTGTCGATTTTGATTGACCGAACCGCCAAAACTTGGTTTTTCTAAATGGGACACCCTGTATATTTAATAAAAATCTGTTGTAGAAATTTACTCCACATCTATCCATATTACACCTCCCTATATCTATCTTTTAATTTTTCTGTTTTTGACGGTTCTTGTAATAAATAAATGATCCAATTTCTTACGAGGATGGCTATGAAATTGCTAGCAAATTTAAAAAATCAAATTAACCACCCACAACCAACCATAAGTCATCATTTGCCGTTAATCCGACAATGGTACTTACAATTAGTTAAACACTGATTTGAAAATAATGGAAAACGATACTTATTCAAATGCTGATATTATAAGTGAAAACAACGATGTTGTAAAAAAGTGAAAACTTTACGTATTAAATAAAAATTTCAAGATTGTATTTAAACGTTATTACCATGTAATTATTAACACTAGTACCTATTAACAGTGGATTATGTACCTATATCCTACCATCGATATTATTATTTACATGCATATACAGTATAACAATAAAATGTGAGAAATTTTAAGTAGTCGTAATAGACAGAAAAGGGCTTTATAATATTTTAATGAAATCTTGATAATTGAATTCCTCTCATATTGCTATATCAATTTTTAAAAAATCATCAAAATCGGAGCTATAGATACCGAGATATTGAACGCCTGAGCGCGCGCTCTTTTTTTTTAAACGCGCGCCAATATCCTTGGCAGGAAAAATGACCTCGGATAGAGCGGGGTCGAGCGGGATTATCGCTCTTTAGCCACTCCATCGCTGTAGGCCCGGACGCCTTTTAGAGGTAGGCCCTTTCCCCGTCATTCCGGACCGCCAACGCGGCCGGATTGGATCGGTTCGTGTAGCCTCCTCCTGTCCTGGCTGGGCCCCGCCGGCTAGGGCCCTTTCTTCTGGCGCTTTTCTTTCTTTGTCGGCTCGTCTGTGTAAATCCCCGGGGGTGTCGTGTGTCAGTCGCAAACGACTGGCGCCGTTTGGCGAACGGGGTGGTGGTTTTGGGTGAGGTCATGCAGCTATGCAGCTTAGGAAGCGCTTTGCTAAGGTGGCCCTTAGGCTAGCGCGGGAGGGGAGAGTGGGATAGGAAGGTAGGGGGGAATGTGTGTGTATGTGTATGTCGTCGTTTTCGTTTCTTGATCCTGGCGGTCCTGAAACAGACAGAAAATTTCGACTCACCCTGCATCCAGGAGTTGGCGAATCCCAGATCCCGGCGAATGTCGCTGTTGCGGTCGAACCAAGGGGCCCCCATCGCGCAACGGAGGGCGATATTCTCGACGGCTTGCACCCGGGCTAGGTGTGTCTTCGCTGCGTGTCCCCATGCGGTTCCAGCGTACGTCAGCTGTGGCTGCAGTACTGCTCTGATGAGACGGCTGTCCCTGCACAGAAGCGGATAAAGCTTCGCCCTCACCATCTCCACTTTGCGTGTCACTGCTTCGACGTGCGGCTTCCACGTCAGCGTGCGATCCAGGGTTACCCCTAGGTACTTAACGGTGGTCGCCCACTGAATGTCTTCTCCGTTGAACTTCACGTGTCCCTGGGGGCGTGTTTGGTACCTACGAGAAAACATAATACCTGTGCTTTTCTCCAGATTGGTCGCCACCTTCCACCTGTTGCACCAGTCCTGTAGTTGGCTTACAGCTCTTTGGAGGTACCTCTTCGCCATATCGGGGTTCAGGGAACGGGCCGTTATGACGGTGTCATCGGCACACGGTAGTGCGCTCTGTCCTGGGCATGTCGGATGTATAGATGTTGAATAGGTGCGGTGATAGCACGGCTCCTTGGGGGACGCCTGCCTCGACGTCTCGATAGGTGGATAGGGCCCTTCCACCTTCGCACGCAGCTTTCTGCTTCTGAGAAAAGACTCCAGTTTGACCAGTCCAATAGTGTAGCCAAAGTCGAGCATCTTTGCCAGAAGCCCATTTTGCCAGGCCCTGTCGAAGGCCTTGGCGACGTCCCAGGAAGACTGCCACAGTGGATTCTCGGTTGTTGAAACCTGCGGACAGATGTTCTACTAACCTGAGAATCTGCTGTTCCGTTGAGCGTCCGCTGCGGTAGGCGAATTGTTCATCGGGGATGACTCGCACTTCTTCCGAGCTCTCACGCAGTCTGGTCAGGATAATCCTCTCCGCTACCTTGCTCATCATCGGCAGGAGACTGATGGGCCTGTAACTGGCAGCAAAGGTTAGATTCTTACCTGGTTTCGGGAAGAAGATGACGTCGGCTTTCTTCCACCTAGCGGGGAATCTTCGCAGTCTCAGGATGGCGTTGACGATGTTGAGCAGCGCCATCACTCCCTTGTGGGGGAGCTTTCTGAGTATTCGGTTTCCGATCTGGTCACATCTGGGTGCCTTGCGGGGGTTAAGGCGGCGTAGGATGTCCCTCACATCCTCGGGTGTCGCCGGCCTGATGTCGTCCCTGTCTGGTTGGCGTCTGTAGTGCCGTACGCGTCGTTCCACCTCGTCGGCGTGGTCCTCGTCTTCGTCGTCGAGAAGGTTTTTCCTACACTGTAATTCAAGGCTGTCGTCGAATGCCTCGGCCTTTGCCTAGTGTAGACGATCCCGTTCTCTCCGTGAATCGGAGGCATAGGCTTCCGGGTGGTCCTCAGCGCCCGTTGCATCGTCCACAGGCTGCGGTCTTCGGGGTTCAGTGACTCCAGATATCGTTGCCACGAGTCCCGGTAGTGCTCCTCTAGGGCCGCTTTTACCCTCCGGTTCAGCTGGTTTAACGTCTGCTTATCCTGGGGGTGTGCTGTCCTCGTGGCTCTTCTTTTCGCCGCATGTCTTTCCCTGATTAGGTTCTGCAACATAATAGGTAACTCACCTGCATAATTCGCTATCCTCCCCTCCGTCGTTTCCGTGGTGCTGGCTTCCAAGGCGGTGTGGATATCCGTCTCAAGGCTCGCGAGGGCAGCTTCGAGGTACGCCGCCTCGCGGACGACCTGAATGGGTGCGCATATTCGTTGCATTTCTGCGCGGAATAGGCCCCAGTCGGTCCGCCGCTTGGCAACGGTGTCCTCGCCGCGACGCTTATCTCCTAGAGTTAGGAGAATAGGAGCATGGTTAGTCGCCCCCTCGTAGTGCGTCGCCAGGTCGGCGGCCATCGGTATTGCCCTGAGCAAAGCGATATCCAACACGTCTGGTCTTCCAACTGCACCGTAGTACGTCGGTCCATCGGGTCTATACGCTGCAACGTCCTCGTGGTTCTGCAAGAATTGCAGTAGCACCCTACCATGCGTACCGGTGTGAAAACAGCAGCCAAAATTGGCAGCTCAATTCTACGGAAACAGCCGAGTCCTCATAGGCGTCGTAGTTAGCAAAGTGGGGGCATGGGAATTGTCAGTGGTGCGAGCGTCCGCAGGATCATTGAATGTGAGTCGCAATTTTAAACTTTGAAAGTATCTATAGCGTCAGAAAGTGTTTTTATGGCATAACACCGCATTTAACATAAACGTAAGAAAGTATAGAGCTAAGACACCCTATCTTTAAAAATTATTATGATGCCATTGACATGTAGCTAATTCAGAATAATGTAGTACAAGTAAAATAGCATTGCATTATATAGCATAAGAAAAATCAATCAAAATCGTGTTGCTCAATGCTCATAAAGCACCACTGTCAGGCCGTCAGAGGGATGAAAACACCCCATCCTGAAAAATAAATCATTTCTAACTCCGATATTACTCATACTGCCTGGGTCAAATTAATACGGGATGAAAAGGAACTTAATATAAGTAGAATAACATAGACGCCAATTGCTACGAGGCCGTCAGAGGGATGAAAACACCCCATATTGAAAAATAAATAATTTCTAACTCCGATATTAGTCATACTGTCAGGATGAAATTAATACGACATAAAAAAGAACTTAATACAAGTAGATTAGCACAGACCCCGATCGCTACCAGGCCGTCAGAGGGATGAAAACATCACATATTGAAAAATAAATAATTTCTAACTCTGATATTACTCATACTGCCAGGATGAAATTAATNATGAGCAATGCTGAAATTACAACACGCATCTTATTCGTCGCCTAAAAAAATATAGTTTCACAAATTTTCAAGTTCCTAACCTGCATATTTTCAGAATAACCGCAAAAAACCATTTAAAATTTTAACTTTCAACACCCTGTATTTCCGAAACTATCAACTTTCGGATAAGGCATGTTTGCGCCAATGGTCACCATTTCACGTGTAGTATCTTCAGCTTTCACCCTGTACAGTTAGTTCTACTTGCCAAATTGCTATCATTTTCTAATTTATTTTTGATAACGTTCCATGTTTTATCTACTGGTATATTAGTGAATAGACTAACCACATCAAAACTCACCATTGACTGACTAATATTAAAATTATTTAAAGAAAGTTATTTTTCTCTTATCTCCCTTGTGAAGGAGGTTGTGGTAATCATGCGACCTGAAACGCACCGTCAAAAGTTATATAAATCTTGTTCACTTTTATATTTTTAGTAGTACAAATTTTCATCTATGACATTCATTTGTTAAAACGTTTTTTTAGGAAATAAATGATTTTCAACGAAATAATTTATTGACATTCAGCAACAGCGACATTTCGACCAACAGATACAAAGATACATGCTTTAGTTTATTCATCGATTCTTGGTAACCAAGCCTGCGGGTCCTCTAGCCAGACCCCCTTGTCCTCCGGGTACTATCCTGAACGGGGTAAAACCCAGCTCTCCTCTTGGAATTCCATACTGAACCAGTTTCTCTTCATACATTTCCAATAGATCGTCATGGGCCTTACACACTCTGGCCAGCTCGTACTGCAAGTCGCTGATCGTTGCGTTTTTCTTGGCTAGAATTTCCTGAAATTGAAAAATATTAAATTAACATCCTGTATATCAGGCCTTGAATTGAAATACAAATAGTATGAGGAGAAGGAGTGTTTTATGGATCCATTTTTTTTAAATTTATTAAATCGAATGAAGAGATAACGATGACGTTATTTAATTACAATTTTATCTCCTCGAATACATAACCAGAGCATGCAAATATTTAAAATACATAAAAGAGTCATAAATCGCCTCGTTTTTACTGTTTCATCTATTAAACGTTTTAAAATAAATTTATATCGATCGCAACGCACTGTAATTCCAATAACAATTTACTTACGGGTACTTCAAAGCAGCAGTAGCTTTCTATTTACTGATTTACAGTGTCTTGTATTAAAACGTTTAAATGTTACGAAAAGAAGTATGCAAATTGTTTCGTCAAGAAAATTATGTATGTAGCTGATTCTTTAACAAAATATAAGCAAAATTAGTTCATATTAAAGTACTTTTATCGAAAATTGTCATAAAATGTTCACATTATAATTCTTAAGTGTCCTTACTATATTTTCAAACTGCCAAAACACTACCGTTAATTACATTGAAAAAGACTTATTCTAGAACAAAAATGGTATATACATTATATTACAAGTGAGTGAAATAAGCTACTATAAACAAGATGTGTGACGCATGCTTGAGTGTAACAACTTCTTATGTGTTTATGATGGCATTTCACTCTCACATTTGATATATGATATCTTTTCCAACAGTTGTAGTTTTTTAAAGTCAAACAAACTTAAAAAGTCAAGCAGTCAAATCTTGATTGTCAATGTCGATCGTCATGGATAGCGGTTGATAACAAATTTTCTGATTTTCATTTTTATGTGCGTGTAGAACGTGGTTGGAGTGTGCCAGAAAATATTCGATAAAAAGCCGAAGCTGCATCTTTGGGGTTATAAAATCTAAAGAAAAATTACTACAAGAAGTATTTGTTATTCAAAGCTTGGAAAACAGAAGATACAGCGCAAATAATCTCGAAAATTTTATGGCATATTTTTTACAAAAGGTAGTTTATCAAATTATTGACGTTTTACTATATTATTGTTTTATGTTTAACTGGTTCATCTCCTATTCACAAAAACTCGCAAGGATTGGTCTTTCACGATTTTGTGTGATGATTTTGGCTTTAAACCAAAAACCAAAGAAGAAAGTTTGGGTCTGCAGAAAACAATACCAACTGACTGTTTCTCAACTACCGACAAGGAGAATGTAGCGTTCGACACTTTCGGAAAAATACCTACAAATATTGCCAGATTTCGAATCTGGAAAATCCAGAAACACATATCGGTCCTTCATTTCGCATATAGGCTATTTTGAAGTATTTTGGAGGTTAGAAAAATAACAAAGTAGCTGAAGGATATGTCGAAGATTCTCTTCAACAGAAAATCAAGATTGGGAAGAAAATTTTGAACAACAATGCTAAAGCTACTTTATTGTTGCTTGATTTACTGTTACTGCTAACGCTGCCACCCCTTCTATTACTTATTCTACGATTATAGTAGCAAATATTAATAGAATGATGTCCCGCAAAGAAAATGTGCACCCTTATGTTAGTTTTGGTAGTGGAATCTGATTTCACAATGTAACTTTTAATTTCAATATAATAATTTAGTCTTTGGCCTAACCTAACCTATAAATATGTAGTTGATATTCATATCAACATTAGACAGTAGTAATCAATTCATCTACCAGAAAACGAATAAAATAAATGAGAATAATTAAAGGAATATTAAAACTAGCAATATCCCGTGTTAAAAAACGAAGCATCACCCTCAGTATCAATAACAGTATCGAAAAATTTTCTTTTTTTTTCACCAAAATAACATATCTAATGTTCGATTCGAAATCGTCACACTGATGATTTCTTTTGAGATTCTACAGATTTCAGTATCTACTGGCGGCCGTCGTACTTTTGTAGAATTTGAAATTTCAGTCTTTAATATTTTGCTTGGTCAAAGACCTTCATGTTTTACCGACATAATATGCTTTCATTTTTTGAAATTTCACACCTTTGAATACCTACCTCAAGTTTTTGATTAGATTTGGCAGGTGGTTTTTGGGCAGCAGCTGTCAGTTCGCCTATGATGGCCTCGCGGTGTTCAGCGACGTTGCTCAAAGTTTCTATGCGTTTCTGCAGCAGTATGTTTTTGACACCCGTCTTTTGCTGCACCTCCAATATGGCCTTAACGAATTTGTCGTGGAGTTCGTCCCTTTCTTCTTGGAGCTAAAACGAAATTTTCAAAATGAGCCCTAGTTTATGTACATTCCGAGATTTCCGACTTTTGCCGGATAAAGTTGCATAATATTTAGCAAAATGTTTCTTAAAAAATGATTGGGACCGAATAAATCCAGGAAAGATCTTTCCAAAGATATTTGTATTTAATTATATTTAATTTAATTGTTTGTGTTAGAACTGAATATTAGTTAGTTCAGTACACACCTTTCCAAATCTCAATTCTAACGCATCGTATGCCCATTGGACGTTTCCTAGTTCTTTGCTGGTTTCGAGCAGTTTTGCTTTCGTGTTCTAAAACAGATGAATATAGTCGTATTTTGTTTTTTAATGAAATTTTGGAACTTACAGCTAGGGATATTTTATCCTTTTCGTAATTTTGTAATTGCCTTTTGTATTCCTGGACATCAGCTTGCGCCTGTTGCAGAGGAATGGTCAGTCTTTTATTCTCAGCATTCAGATCTGCCACTTGTTTGGTCATTCTCTCGTTTTGTTTCCGTAACACTTCCATTTGATCCTAAAAAGATTTCAGCATGGTTCACAAGGATACAATACTTCTCTCGCATACGATTATGATGTAGTTGTTTTGAGTAGAACCTGGTGGTATCCTTTTCTTGATAAAAACGTGGTTGGATTTACTAGAGATCAGCGATGTTGATAAATTGTATTTTAGGAATTAAAATTCACATCCACAATAATAGTACATTGTGTAACGAGTGGGGAAAAGTTGTCAATAGCGCCACGCGGACGCAGTTGACGCACGAGCGAAGTGAGTGCGGAAAGTGCCCAAGTGGCGCTATGGCAACTTTTCCGAACGAGTTGCACATACTATTTTCTATCACAAGTGCGAGTCGTTATGGGACCTATAGTATAGGGGGTTACAGATAGTACAACATCGCGCTGTTGTACTATCTAGCACTTTCCGTGCACCTAACCCCCTATAGCCTATACTATAGGTCCCATAGCGAGCACGCGTGATAGAAATATATTAATTCCACTATCATATATTTTCCATCGAATGAGAGTGCGTCCCTTTATGAGTTTGTTTTTGAATGTACTTGTGGCGGTTTTGATCTTCAAGATGACAATGTACCTATTGATTAATTTAGATGACTTATATAACATATATAAATTATGTAGGTAATAGACATTTTACTGATAAATATGTTGAACGTCTGAACAATTTAAACCTCAATCAATAAAGTTTTGCCCTATAAAAATTTTTGATAGTACGCTTCCCTACGGAGATACAGGGTGTTAAAAGTTTCAAATATTTATATTATTTTTCCTGTAACTTCACTGGCAAAAAAGATTGAGCGATAAAATTTGGGGGATGACATTTTTTTAGTAGGGGCTATTTTTTCATGGATAACTTATTCCAAAATATACTTCAGTGGCGCAGTTATTGGAAGAGTAGGGGACCTTTTTCGAAAAAAAAAAAATCGTAGGCCACAGGGTTTTTTAAATAATTTTAAGTGTTTTTTAAAATGTACAATCAATTTGTGGCAATAAAGTATGTTTGTAAAGTATTCCTAAAATTTGCTGGTCTTTAGATAATTGGGAAATCAAATAAGAAGATAGTATCTATCTAAGTATCTACATTGCTAAATGTGTAACAATAAATTCAGTACCTAATATTTTTGAGAGATTTCAAAACACTACACAAATTTTATCACTCAATCTTTCTTGCCAGTGACGTTACAGGAAAAATAATATAAATATTTGAAATTTTTAACACCCTGTATCTCCTTCAACGGTAAAATAAGCCATTAAAGTTTGGCTAAAGTAATCATTTACATCCTGTATAAAACAGTGAGAGCATTAATTCGATAGAATTTTTAGAAAAATTTTGAATTTATTTCAATTAGCTTACTAGCTTTAAAATAAAGTAAAACCTTTTTAGTCCGGTCAAAATAGACATTTCAAATAACGAAAATTCCGCCAGAGCTAAATTTTGGTGGGGACCATGGGTACACCATTAGAAATAAAGTGTCAAAAGTCCCCATCGATCCCATGTGTGCTAAAAAAGTTATTCGGGGTCAAAGGTCAAAATTTGAGGTTTTTTGGATTTTTTTCGAAAAAATCAAAATATCAAAAAAGTAGACCAGACAAAAATTATAGATATTAAAATTATCTACAAAAATATATCTATATAATCAATTTTTTTTTGGAGCTCCATAAACAGCAAGAAGAAAGCGAATTCTTTTTGTGATTATTGTTTGAGGTGAAGAATCAATTTCTGTAAATAATTTAGCGCAATCAATCAAATCTTTTTTTTTAAATAATTTTAATACTGATGTTTTACCCCTTCTGAACATTGCTGATGTAGTATCGCAGCCGGTTATCGCATGTAAAAATAAGATATGGTTTTGGCATTTTGGACAAGCAGGTAAACTTTTTGAAGAACATATTTCTGTTCGCTGTTGAGCCTTTCCAAGTTTTACAAAGTATATAATTTTATCAATTGGAGTCCTTGCAGTGAGTAGTAATAATAAGTCAACATCTTCACCAACTACAATAGTTGTATTTGTTCCATTAAATTGTTCTATTGCTGTTTCAATTATAAGGATATCTGCGTCATTTTGAATAAGGGACTGAGTTTCTTTTGAATGTATAATCTCAGAATAGTATAGTTTATACACATAAGAGATACAAATAGGCATTTTTACTTGTATTAAGTGCCTGACTATGTATATACGTGGCATATACAGGGTAGCCCATCGAAAACGTACCGCAAGGCATTACAGGGTAGTAATGAACATTTCGGCAAAATAAAAAAAACAGGTAAAGTTTGCTTCTGAGGGGGACAACTTTTGGCGCAAAAAGCATAGCAAAATCTTCAACCCCCTATGTGGGGGTGCCATCCCCCAAATTTTTTTAAATGGGAATGGGGTCAAGTAGGGGGTCATTAGAAAGGGCTTTTAATTCTCTATACATCGATTCTTACTTTTTNACTCCGATATTACTCATACTGCCAGGATGAAATTAATACGGCATAAAAAGGAACTTAATACAAGTAGAATAGTACAAACGTCAATCGCTACCAGGCCGTCAGAGGGATGAAAGCACCCCTTATCGAAAAATAAATAATTTCTAACTCCGATATTACTCATACTGCCAGGATGAAATTAATACGGCATAAAAAGGAACTTAATACAAGTAGAATAAATAGCACAGACCCCGATCGCTACCAGGCCGTCAGAGGGATGAAAACACCCCTTATCGAAAAATAAATAATTTCTAACTCCGATATTACTCATACTGTCAGGATGAAATTAATACGGCATAAAAAGGAACTTAATACAAGTAGATTAGCACAGACCCCGATCGCTACCAGGCCGTCAGAGGGATGAAAACACCCCTTATCGAAAAATAAATCTAACTCCGATATTACTCATACTGCCAGGATGAAATTAATATGGCATAAAAAAGAACTTAACACAAGTAGAATTGCACAGACGTCAATCGCTACCAGGCCGTCAGAGGGATGAAAACGTCCCATATCGAAAAATAAATAATTTCTACCCCGCTATTACTACGATATTACTCATACTAAAATTGGTCTCTTCAATTTTTTCCGTAGGATGAACCGTTTTTGAGGAAAAAATAAAGCATGTTATTGTAGGTTTTGTTAATATTTTAATTAAAGTTGCAAGTAGAAATATTCGGATCACCTCAAAAAATGCTTTATCCCTCCAAAGCATTGTAACGGTTCATATTTACCGGTATTAGAAATTAAAAATTATCAAGGGTCACAATGTATAGGCAATTCTGAATACATCGAAATAAAGTAGTAATGGAATTCATTAGGCGAGGAACTAAGAGTTTTTAGTGGAAAAAAAAATGATGGCAAAAAAGGATGGGTGAAGTCGGCAAGGCACGGAAAGTATAGAAAGGTTATTTGTATGAAAGCCGTTATTAACAATTAACGAAATCTTTACTTATAAGATGTAAGGTTTTTTGTCTCTATACAACTGGTACATAAGTACATGAATTTATTGTATACGGGGCGTTGCCTCCCTTGTCACCTTGTCAGCCGGCTACCAAATTTGAAGCGAGTTGCGTCATGTACCTGTCCGAATTGCTGATGTACTTGCCCTACATGGTTTATATACCGCTTTAGACGCCATTTCGTTCCCGCCCTGGATGGTTGATGCACTTATACTTACCCTAGATGGTTCATCTACCGTACTAGACAACATTTCGAACTTTCTGTGAGCACCATTATGTAAAATGCCCGTGTCTGTATTGATAACCATATATCCGTGAGATACAAAAGGTAATGCTGTTAAACCATTGCTGGGAATCCATCGTGAGTAGAAAGCCTTTTCTTGACAATCTATCTAATAAGGAACGCAAGGATTTAATAACAATATTCATAACATTCCATATATTACTTTGTTTTCTATATTTTTGTTAACCTGAATAAAATTAAGATATTTATATGTAAGCCCGGAACAGCTGTTCGAGAGGTAACGGTTATGATTATTTAACCATATCCAATTGGAACTAAACCCTAAAATTTAAGTAATATAGAAATTAACATTAGTTTTATTTATAATATACAGTATATTAATAATTCACCTACCTGCTCTATTTGCTGAATTTTTGTAAAATTTCACTTTTAACGATTCAGCTAAGTTAAAATTTGTTTTAATACTAACAATTCTAATATTAAACCTTACGTTGTATCTTTGAACAATCATTCATTAATGTAGGGTATCTACATTATTATTATGTATTATTTTTGCGTTTTTGCATTAATTTCGCACTAGTACCTACTTACCTGTTTGGAATTCATATCTGTTGGTAACATGATTACGTCCAATTGTCATTTATACACTAATGGTAGAATTTATACACTTTAATATTAATTATACATACATTTACTAACATTTTGGCCATTTTAAGTCTTATTTTTCCCCCTCCTCGTCAACCACTGTTGACTGGCGCCCACTAGTAGTTTTGCATCGTTACATCTTAAAGCTATAATTATTTTTTTACGCTTACCCATGCTTTTGCTTCCACAATAAATGAGCTGCCGTGCACGTAACAGTAACTTTGAGGCGATTAAATTTTTTTAGTTTTTAGTATAACCATATAACCGGTTTACGACCGAAGGTACGTCACAGCATATTCCAAATTTCGAGTCAATATTTTAAAACTCATTGAAATAATTAATAGAAATAAATAAAAAAGTTAAATTTAAACACTGTATCTCGGAAACGGGGCATATTTCGACCTACATTTATATGAACTTTTTTTCACAAAATAACTTACTACTACTACTTACTTAAGCGGCTATTACTACCAAGCCATTAGATCGTTAAAAACGCCATATTATAAAATATATCTAATTTCTATCTCGGAAATTTAGGTACAACAACAACAAGGGCGATGGTGCTCGTGACGGCATCACGGCGGATGCATCTAGTTACGCATTAATATCTTCATTTAAAAATATATGTAGTTTATTTTTAATTAATACTGTCGGCAGATGCTGCACATACCGTTTTT